TTGGTTGTCAGAGCTCCGGCGGCGGCAGTCAATGAAGCTCTGACGACCAGCCGACAATTGGTCATCGGAGCTCCGGCGATCGGAAACAATTTTTTTGAAAATCTTTACAACTTCAGTATAACAGTTAACAACTTTTGTAACGCTATTAACAACTTCAGTATAGCAGTTAACAACAAGTTTTATGGGAAATTCAACAAGCTCCAGCGACCTGAAATAATTTTTCTAAAAATTTTTATAACTTCAGTATAACGGTTAACAATTTTTGTAATGCTATTAACAACTTCGGTATAACAGTTAACAACAGGTTTTCTACGAAATTCAATAAGCTCCAGCGGTAGGAAACAATTTTTTTAAAAATTTTTACAACGTCAGTATAACGGTTAACAACTTTTGTAATAACGCTATTAACAACAGATTTTTTGAGAAATTCAAAAAGTAGCATTTTTACAACTTCAATAATGCCGTTAACAAGTTCCATAACTCTATTAACAATTTCGGTATAGCATTTAACAACAAGTTTTCTTAAAAATTCAAAAAAATGGCATTTTTATAACTTTAACAACTACTTTCTTTTGAAAATTTTTACAACTTCAGTATAACCGTTAACAACTTTTGTAACTCTATTAACAACTTCGATATAGTAGTTAACAACAGGTTTTTTAGGAAATTCAAAAAGTACCATTTTACAACTTCAGTAATGCCGTTAACAAACTCAAAAACCTGTTGTTAACTGTTATACTGAAGTTGTTAATAGAGTTACAAAAGTCGTTAATCGTTATACTGAAATTGTAAAAATTTTCAAAAAAATTGTTTTCTGCCACTGGAGCTCTGGTGACCAATTATTGAATTTCCTGAAAAACCTGTTGTTAACTAATATACTGAAGTTGTTAATAGCGTTACAAAAATTGTTAATGATTATATTGAAATTGTAAAAATTGTCAAATTGTTTCCGACCGCCAGAGCTTGTTGAATTTCCTAGAAAACCTGTTATTACTGCTATACTGAAGTTATTAATAGCGTCACAAAAGTTGTTAACCGTTATACTGAAGTTGTAAAAATTTTCAAAAAATTTGTTTTCAGCTATCGGAGCTTGTTGAACGTCCCAGAAAACCTGTTGTTAACTGATATATTGAAGTTGTTAATAGCGTCATAAAAGTTGTTAGCCGTTATACTGAAGTTGTAAAAATTTTCAAAAAAATTGTTTCCGGCCGTCGGAGCTTGTTGAATTTCTCAGAAAATCTGTTGTTAACTATTATACCGAAGTTTTTAATAGCATTACAAAAGTTGTTAACCGTTATACTGAAGTTGTAAAAAATGTTTAAAAAATTGTTTCTAAAAGTCAGAGCTTCGGTGACTGCCGCTGCTGGAGCTCCAGTGACAGACCAGCCGGCCAACCAGTGGAGGCTTTGTTATTTTAAAAACAATAAATAAAATGAAGGGTAATTTAGTCTTTTCTTTTAACATGTAATTCCAATTTGGTCTCAAGAGACCAAATTGGGATTTCTCAAATTCAGCAGACCATTTGAGGATTATGAAATTCAAGTATTCTTTTTTTGTCTTTTTCCCTTTATGTAATCTTTAAAAAATATATATATACAGATAAAATATTACTCCTCCGGTTTTTAATATAGGACCTAATTATTGAGTTGATTTTAGTCCTAAATATAAGACTTATTCTCATATTTATCAATTTTTCTAAATTACCTCTATGAATACTCCCTCAACCATAATCAAGTAGAAGAGGGAGATGGGATATTAAGGAAGATGATAATGGTGTTTTAGGAAAAATATATCATATTTCTTATAATTAACTAACTTACTTAACTTTCTTAATCTAATTAAATTAGTTAAATATGTCTTATATTAAAGATCGGAGGAGTATCAACATTTTGAAATTAAAAAAAAAATCTGAGTGAAAAATATAAATTTATGGCGGATGTCGTCATCTTTCATGCTTCTTCAAGAATGTGAATTAAGAAGGGCATATGAATTGATCGAATTTTCAAATTATGAAAAAAAAAATGGATACTTGATGTGTCTCCCCCCGGCTTAAGAGACAAAATCATTAAACTTTTAACGTGTTTTGGTATGATAATTGACCAGTGGGAATCAAACAATTATAGAACATGCCATGGACACACACACACACACATTATGTCATACTATCACTATGTACACAATAATTCATTGCAACTCCAAAAGCCTCGCTCTAATTAGTCAAATATTATCTCTGGTTCTTAATATAAGATCTCATTTGATTTTTATTTTGGTCCTAATTATAAGACCCAAATCCACTTTGTCTCTCATATTTATGCATTCTTTTCTAAGATAGTCCTTCTAATAATAGCAGTTCTAGCCAATAAATTTGATTAGCAAGGATATTTTAGAAAAGACAATACCTATTTATTACAAATAACTAACTTAACTTATTTTCTTAATCAACTCAAATTAATCAACTAGCTTTTATAATTAAGACCGGAAATAGTAGTTAATAACTCTATTTCCAATTCTTTTTTCTAATTATAGTTGAACCAATCAATTATTTATCGATTTCTTTAATAAAAAGAAATTGTGAAAGTTGGTTATGATAAATGATTTCTACTAATGTTGATTGTAACAATTTTCAATTAATTTCTTTAATGTGTACTTTCTGATAGGAAAAATTATTGTGTGGTCACAAAGAATAAATATAATTACTTGGGGTTTAGTGAATGGCATGTTTCAGTAATGACTTGTATTTCTTTTTTCTTTACAAGTTGATGATAATTTTTTCAAAAATTAAAACCCTGTTTTCTTGCTGCTGTCATCTTTTCGGTTAATAAAGGATGAGACCCAGCTCCATGTCGTAGGTTTTTTTGACCAGCAGCTCCATGTTGTAGTTAAACCAATAAAATTTGGTGGGTTTAATGTCAGATCAAGTTGATTGTGACAATATATGCATGTTTTATATGCTGGTTTATTAATTATTTTCCAATCTCCACTCCATCCCCGCGTGTTAATCAGGATCCTGTACACGCGCCTGTCTACACTAAACCCAATCTTATTAGCTGCTAGTGTATTTATATTCAGTCGTATTATTTCATCAAGCAATGTCCCATGGGATTTTTTTATTTGTCGCCTTCACTCTTAAAATAAAATAATTTAATATGGAGTAAAAAACTTATAGATGTCAAATTAACAATTGAAAAAAATTTATAGGTACTTTAAGAATGGCTTTCCCCAAAAATTGATGGTGGAAATATATTAAACATAAATTACGTACCCTTGTGCCAATTCTCAAGACCTTAACTCAAGCCTTGTGGCTTGTGATGAACTATGGTTCCAACCACGTTGAAAAAAATGTGTATATTTAATACTTGACAGTATCTCAAATAATATTATTCTTAATAGGAGGATTTTTGTGTTTACTGGGGAAAAAATTAAGGTTTTCCTTCCTAGTATTCCCTCCCCTTATTTTCCTCCTAGCTCTATCCAATCATAGCCTTAATTATTAATCTGATGGTGATATCTTCATCAGTGGGCAACCTAGCTACATATTTTTCAATCTTTATTATAAGTTTTAAATAACTAATTCACAGAAAACGAATAGTTAGTTAAAAGTAATAAATATGTTAGAAATATAATTTTGTTTTCAAATATACCCTTATAATAAATAAAAAAGGATGAAAGAGCATGTGTGAAGAAATGTGATAAAAGAGGACATGGCAAATGAGAGAAAATAAATAATTAAGGATAAAATTGAAAGAAATGTATTAGATATTAAGACAAATTCAAATTGAAGTTTATAAAATTGATTATATTCCTCTTCAAATTTGAAGTTTATATATAGTACGGGAGAGAGTAATTGAAGAGAGATACACTTAATATTACCCCCGGTCATTCATATAAGAATTTATTTGACTTTTATTTTGGTCATCAATATAATACCCTAATCTATTTTGCTTTCATATTTATTAATTTTTTCTCAAAGTAGTTTTTATAATAATGATATGTCTAACCAATGTACATGATTAGTAAGAATATTTTAGAAAAAATGACACCTATTTATTATAAATAACTAATTTAATTAATTTTTTTAATCTATTTATATCAATCAATTAACTCTTATAACAAAAACATGACTTGGTACAATTACATAAATAAATTAATGGGTATATATTTAATGTATCTGCTCCGTTGAATTCGTGCGGCTTTTTATAATGACCCCACGTCGGTGCTGTCCTTCCTGGCAGTGGCCCTCACTGTTCCGATGACGTCACGATTCACCCACATCAATAATACTAAGTAATAGGCCTGTTTTCTTAATATTAATATAAAAGTTAATTACTTAATTTGAGTATATTAGAAAAATTAGTTAAGATAATTATTTATAATAATAGGTGATGTATTTGCTAAAATATTTTTACTAATCATGTGTATTAGCAAGGACTATCATTTAATAAAATTTTTAACATTTACAATTATAGCAAGGATTGTTATAAAAAAATTGATAAATATAAAAGATAAAGTGAATTGAGTTATTATATCTAAAATTAAATTAAGTGTCAAATTAGTTCTTATATTAAATACTGAAATATATTATTCATAAGGAAGAATTATAATAAGATCCCAAGGAAGGAAAATAATTATAAAACTAGTTCTAGAAATTATCATTTCTTACTTTAAAACTTGTTATTACAGACCGTTTAAGTTATTATTGTCTTAATAGAATTTTTTAATAATTATTTAGGATGTTATTGTAATTCTCCCCATTCATCCGTCGTCACTGTCCTTAGTGCCGGACACGTGGACCCCGATTATTCCCAGAGACTCCATCCAAACGTTATCATTCTTATGCTAAATATCGTTCATAGGTTCGTCCGTATGCGTGGGAATCTGATTCCTATACACGTAATTACAATGACAAGAAGTCTGCTTCCTCGTGTCTTGGGAAGAAGAGGAAGAAAAGTTTTTTTTTTTTTTGGGGGGGGATTTATATATAATCCAATTTGCAGCGCTCCTTTAACTTATTTACTTCATTAATGATGCTAAATGAGTCATTTTTCATACAGAGTTAATTCATATGTGGCTAATCATTTCCAGGTTCCTTTTTTTTTTCACCTTAAAAAAAAAAGAGGAGAGAAAACTGGATCCGCTTATTGAGATAATGTGCTTCTGTTGTATCTTGTTCATTCCCCCATATATCTTCCGCTGAGAAATTTCTTGCATATCTTTTCCCAGCTTTTTCTGTCTGGTTCAGCTAACTCCAATCCACACTTCACGCTCTCTGCAAATCCCTCCTGCAACAATGACAAGCTCATCAGTTAATTGAAAGGAGATCAGATAGAAATTAAGATATGAAAAGTATAAATACTATTGTATATATGAATGATTACCTGTATGAGATCATTATTGAGAAGGCGTTCGATGAGATTAAGGAGTATGTCTTTTGTGTACTCAGGGTGACCTTGAATCCCAAGAATGTGGTCTGCAATGGCAAACATCTCAACCCGAGTTCTGTCGGAGGAAGCAATCACTTCTGCCCCATCTGGAATCTCATACACCTCGTCTTGATGAATCTCTATTATGGACAGACAAGCTGGCATTTCATCTTCGTCTTCTTCCTCCTCCTTCTTTTCCATGTCTCTGCAACTAACTAAATCCTTATTCATTATGCTTACTTTCCTTATCCCTATATCCCAACCTGTGTATGCTCTTCCCACTCTTCCTCCCAAAGCCCTGCACAGCACCTGCAACAATCACACTCCACAAGTTATTATTACTCTCAATCAGGTCTTGGGATTCGAGCCCGTGTTAGGTGAGGTCGCTTATCACATCAACTGACACCTTGTTAGTAATTGATGCAGTTATCTGATACTACTGACTACTTTGGATTCAAGTTATGTGGGTGTTTGCGTATGAGTTATTAACTAATTACCTGGTGACCGAAGCAGATGCCGAGGACTTTCTTGTGCATAGCGTCGAGGGTTTGAAGGAGGAAGCAAAGTTTGAGGACCCAGAGTTCATTTGAATGAGCATCATGCCCACTACCAGTGATTATAAACCCATCGTACTTGTGAAGCTCACCCAATTCTGGGAATTCTCCATCATAAACTCTGAACAAATCCCATCTTTGTCCTTCTTCTCCGAAAGCTTCCATGTACACGTTCAAGTATCCTCCATACACTTTCTTCACGTACTCAGAATCCCTAGCTGCTTGCAGCAGAGCCATTCGTCTTTCTTCAACAGGAATCCTCATCTTCTCTTCAATTACTAAGCACGATCTGATTTAGGAAACAAAGCTTAAGAAGTCTGGGAGAACTGAGATGAAAGAAACAAGTCGATTATAATTTGGGGGGCGCGCTTTGTCTCAAGGAGAATGGGACCTTTTTATAGAGATAAGGACTCGCTTGCTTGGTCACTAGTTGGCTGGCTAGCAAAAGCTAGAATTGTTGTGGGATCCACACCCATGAATTTTAAGTAACAAAATAATAGACCTGCTTTTATTATTCTTACTATTTTGGTGTGACACCAGCTTTTTTTTTTGGTAGCCTGGGAGACAAGAATTTTTGAGCTGGCTACACTAAGAAATAGCCGTTAAATATTAAATTTTAGAAAAAATCACAAAAAAAAGACTGCTGAAATGAAAAAAATTATAAATAGAAAGCCATGACAACATAAATATAGTTTTTGATAACAATGTCTGTGAACAGATTCCTGTGTATAATTTTTTTATTTCGGTGGTTTTTTATGTTATTGTCCCTAAAGTTTACGGCTATTAAAGACGCGGTACTTTTGATGCTGCATGTGCATTATAATTCACGTGCTTCTTCTCAAGATAGCACGTGGCCTATTCAATTAATTAGTTATATTCACTGAACGCCCCCACTACGCGATGAAATATATAATAAATAACTATCACCCAAAAAATATATAATATAATAATAAATAACTCCAATAATTAGCCCGTCCTGTCTGAATTGTTGCGCTTCTTAACGTGTTTCAAAAATTTTTACTTTTAAAAATGAAAAATCAATGTATGATATGCATGTAATGGAAAGAATTTAACTGTCGAAACATGGAATTCTTTGGATAAAAAAATTTTAAAAAATTATGGGACGCGGCCGTAGAAAAGTCAAACGGATTTATAAGAAGATTTGACTTGTTAATTTAGAGTGAAACGTAAACCAATCAGACTTGTGACGCTATTAAGGTTTAATTTATTAGGCGATCAAGAGAAAGATCGAAGGAATAATAAGCAAGTATGTAATTCGTGTATCACGTTGCATTTGAATGTCTGAAAAAAAAAAACAGTAATTGATAAGGATGAATTTTGATTGGTTGGATTTTTCTGACATAAAATAATATTTACACAGTCTCACACGCGCGCACTACTAATATGGAGCAAATATTATTGAATGACATGCAATTATTGAACCCCCAGTGAGCCATGATAGTTTGCGTGTTTGAATTAGTAGTGAAAAAATATTTTAATATTATACAAAATAAATATATAATGCTTTTACCTCGTTAAAGGAAAAACATTTATTTCGAGTGCTCCCAAACGGCTTTATTAATAATGTGTTGTCTTATATTAATCTTTCGGATTTATTAGCTAGCATGTTGGAAGTACAAGAGAAGTTACATAAACCAATTGGCCCATTACAAAATATACTTTAATTTGCTCTGGGGCTGTAAAAAATATCCAGAACCTGATCCGCCCAACCTACCGAGAACATCCCGATCCAACCCGGTTTGGAAAAAAGATGCGGCCAATCGAGTCGAGCTAGGCCACCAGCTAAGACCAGGTTCAAGACTGATGTTTCAGACCATTTGATCTGGTCCGTAGATTTTTTTTTTCTTTTTTAATTTTTTCATTTATTCCCCAACCTTTTTCTATCCTCCTTCTAATGTTGTCAAACTCACGAGTTTAAATAAACTAGTGAGAATGAAATAAATTCAGACCGTAAACTCAAATCGTAAACTCGTAAGAATTTACTTTTATTAACAAACTGGTATTAAAAGTATGTAATCAAATAATTAATATATACGAAATGAGAACAATTTCATTTAAATATATTTTAAATTTAAATAATTGAAATTATATCCATAAATATTCATAATTTATCACATTCAACAAAAGAATTTCTATAAAATTCATATATAAAGTCACTAAATATAATCAAATCTAAAAATTTAGCACGAGTTTAAGAGCAAGTTGACACGATTTTCTAAGCTTAAAATGTAAAAACGGTAAACTCCGTAAATAAACTCATAAGTTTAACTGAGTTTACAGTTATCACGAGTTTAAGAATAAATCAACATGATTTTGTTAGCTAAAAACGTAAAAATGTTAAACTCAGAAAGTCAACTCATGAGTTTGAGAATAATGCTCCCTCCTCCTCCTTCAACTTGGTCGCCCCCAACTTCTCTTAACTCTGCATCTTTCCTCATCTCATCTTTCCATCTCCCTCTCAAGCTTGAGTGTCACCTTCACGATCGCCTCCCCTATACTGTCCATCTCCACTCAAGTCTCGGCATTGCTTCTTGTCGTCGTTCCTTCTCGATCTATTTAAGTTTTGGACTTTTAGCTTCTTCACTCTCCAGGTGCTAATTGATAACCCCATCCTCCTCCAGGTAACAATTGATGATGGGTTTGGGAGAGGGTGGTTTTTAGGGCTAATTCCATTGTTAGTGGTGGTGGAAGAAGAGTGAGTGTTGGGGGAAAGAACAAGGAAAGGGAGATGAAGATGGGCTGGATTATTGTTCTCTTGGTGTACTGAAGATGCAGAAGGGGATGATGGTTTGTAGGGTTTACTGTTCGAGTTTATAGGAAGAAGATGGAGGCCAATGCGAGAGAGGAGGAATAAAATATATTTTAAAATTTAAATTTTTTTCAAATTATTTTATTTTACTAGAATATAAAATAGAAAAACTCAAAAAAAAAAAAAAGGAATGAAATGCATTCTTTTTATATATAAATTAAAAACCGTCCAAGTGTCTACTGTTTAATGATTATGTTTACATGTATTATAAATATTAAAAAAATGACATTACAAGTCCAACTATTCTCTGCCATGTATCACTTTTCTTTAATTTTTCTTTTTTCTTAAAAAGAAGGAAACAGCAAAGTCTTGTGAACTGGTCCGATAACCTAGGAGACCAAATCCAACCCGATCTTGGTTTCAGACTCAATTAGATCAGACCAGTCTTCAGATCAAATATTAGAACTCAGTCATTTTTCAGATTAAACTTCAAACTAATACTTAACCTAATACGAGTCTGTCTTTGTGCAACCCTATTTTGTACAATGGTTCTTTTCACACTGATTATCGTGGAAGCAATATATAAAATGTTACTGAAGACAATTTTGTAAACAAGGAGCAAGGTTATTGACTTTCTATACTGGTTGCGAAAATAATCAGGTTAGAAAATACTTTTTACGTCCATTGAAAAAACAACTAAAGTATAAAATAATTTATTTTTCAAATACTCACCTGTCCTATTTATAAGTTTTAAATTTGAGAAGGAATATGGTCCATTTAATAAGTTTTAATTTGAGTTTGTCTTAATATTTACTCCTCTGATCTTAAATATAAGACTCATTCGGTATAGTGTAGTAGTAATACATTTTTTTCAATGTTATTTTTAATTTTTTTCTTATCATATTTTTTCACACATTTTTTCCTTCTTTTTCTCATTTATTATAAGAACATATTCGGAAACAAAAGTCTATTTCTAACCTCTTATGATTCCTTAATTCTAGGAGTTCAAGGTAAAAAGATTTTACGTTTTTAATTTTGAATAATTTAATAAACCATTTTTTATAATGAACAATTTGGTTATACTTAAATCCATTGTATTTGGCTATTTGCTACCTCTTCGGAGCCATGTAATATTCATACTTCCGTAAAATCAAAAGAGATAGTTTCACCCAAAAAAAAAATAAAATAAAAGACACAAAAACGCATCGAAAGGAAAGGTTGATTCGCCAAAACGTTATCCACACGTTTTATTCTTAACGGCGCATATCTGTAACCAAATTAAGAATATTGCGTGCTGTGGTGAATATATACTAGTATACTAGTCTTGTTTCTGAATATAAGTAAGAGATGAATAACTAATTTATAAAAATTAAAAAAATGTGTGTTGGTTTCTCCTAAATATCTTTTTTAACCATTCATTATATGCTAAAGTATATAGTACTTTCGGTCCTAATTATAAGAGCTAATTGATTAATTTGAGAGATTAATGAAATAAGTTAAGTTAGTTATTTGTAATAAATAGATATTGTATTTCCTAAAATATCTTTACAAATTAAGTGTATTAGTTACAACTATCATTATGAGAAGGACTACCTTAGAAAAAAAATGTACAAATATGAGAGACAACGTGGATTGGAGTCTTACATTTAGGACCAAATAAAAGTTAAACGAAGTTTTATATTAAGGATCGGAGGTAGTATTTGACTATTTAACTTTATATAAGATTTTAGTTTGATCTCTTAAGTCTTAACTTTAAAAAGCATATTTTTTAGTTCTTTAATTCAAAAATCCTTAGTCTTAAATGATAATTTTTGTAATAATCATACTGTTTTGAAAAGTAAACTTCATATGTTAGTATTTAAAAATTTTTTATCGATATTTAAAATCTCAATATTATTATTTTTGTTAATAATGTTATAAGATTAAAAGATTAGAGTAATTAATATATAGGAGAAACCACAAAAAAAAGATCCTAGAATTTAAAAAAAGCGAATAAGGACCCGTGACAATTTCACTATAACTTTTGACAATAATAATATGTCAAAACCTATAGTGAAGTTGTCATGGATTTCTATCTGTGTTTTTCAAATTCTAGGGTCTTTAATTACAATTTTCCCTAATATATAATGGCTGGAAATATTCTTTGGTTCTATTTTATGTTTTCATGTTCCGAAAACAATGAGAGAAGCCTAAAAAAAAAAAACCTCTTGAATTTTAAAATCTCAAATCAAAAATTACTACAAAAATGTGTTGTCATTTGTTTTTCAAGATAGTTAATTACTATTAAAATGTAGTATTTTAGAATTTTAGAATTCAAGAGATTTTTTTTTTGGCATTTTTTCTAAAACAGTTCTGTAAAGTAATCTTTTTGAATAGGAAGAATTATAATGAGATCCCAATGAAAAAAAAATTATAAAATAAGTTCTAAAAGTTATCATTCTTCACTTTAGATCTTCATTACAGACTGCTCAAATTTTTATTTAGACTTTTTAGTAATTATTTTTTTCTCAAACTTGATTGTAATTCTCTTTTTACAATAAGTAGTGAAATGAACGGTGAAAGAACTACTTTTAATATTTACATAATTTC